ATAGGCATGCAGCCTCGAGTGCTCTCATCTTTTATCCCCAGGCTTCTGTGGCGTTGGAACTTTCGCGTCGATGTGGAAAAGCGATTGGTTCACGAAATCGTTTAATCCAGACCACCGAGTCGATGCTAGCCGAGTCACGATCATTACTTTCTTCCAACGAGATCCTCTTTGGAGAAATCCGAAACAATCGTCGACACGCCCATCCCACGTAAACCTATATATGCGCTTCGTTAGGTAACGGGCAACAATGTTTCGTCGGGCGCATATAGATATTGTCTTAATGTAATGTAATAACCGTGAGCTATCGCAGTTATGAATTTTACTCCGAGCGAGTCTCGTCAAAGTTAGCACAATTATCTCGAAGTATGCAGCCGTTTATCAGACCTTAAGAATGTTTTAGCGAGCTTTTATTAAAATTTTCTTACAATCTTTGCAACTTGACCGTTATTTTTGCCAAAGTAAGAAATTATACGTGTACTTTAGACTTTTAATAAAAGTCTATATATGTAGGAAACTTATTCGTTTTCTACATTTTACATATACTTGAGTCTTATAAATGCAGTAACGTATTATTATTCGATCTGCTGTACCGCAAATTACTACAAAGCCTTCATACATAGAAAGCGTATAAACCTTTTACATTATTTTACGGATTATTGTAGCAATAAAAATTCTCGGCAATCTTTTTGTCACCGTCCACTGACATTTCCGTGTTAATCTAAGCAAGCGTGAAGCCGCTTATTCGTAATATCGTGGATCGCAGTGCGATGATCAGAAGAATCACAACCGTTATTTTCCTCGGACGGGATTCTCTTTGGTGAAACAATCATAGACACACCCATCCACGTGCGCAAGCGCATCATGTCTACTTTGTTTAGTATATAATATGCGAAACAAAGTCTGTTCCGGGCTATACGGACGTTATGTTGGTCCATAAATATCTAGTATCCTGTTATTATTGAAGCGCATTATTTCCGTTGTCGCAAATCGAGATCACGATTTTTCGTTTTGATCGAAATCTGTGTTTCACGAGTTATTTTGAACTCACTCTCTTCTCTGTTTGAATTACGACATTTGCATAGAAGAAAATTATGATATCATTGTTTTTATCTTATCTCGATGTACTCATTTTGCTTCTCACAAAGTTTCCTTTATGATCGTTTGCCATCTCTCTTCCACGGATGACGATCTTCGGGGGGGCAACGACGACGCAAAGGCACTGCCCGCGGTACTGATTACCTGCCATTCGTAGTTTCGAGTGGTGACTGCCCTTGCTACGGAAATTATGAAACCGGTCTATAATTGGAACTTGACTAATGACAAGACGGGTCATTGCGTATATTATAGCCATGGATCGGCATTAGCTCTCGCGCGGGCGCCGGACGCTTCACAGAACCGCAATAGTGTGCGACTGTGCTCCACGTGGGAAAGGATGCATTAAAAGTGCATCAAAACGGGTGGGGAAATGGCGAATGGTGCCGAAAGGCAAACATTCGTTTGTCGAAATTAACATGGTAAAGGCGGGCACCTTTCATATTTCGCAACAGAGATTAGTTATATACGAGATTAGTCTCCAGCAGGAACTTCAGGACTAATTATTATTATCGTCTATACTATTATCCAAGGATGAGCATGAATAAAGCTAAATTACATACAGATACTCTGCATTTTATAGTCCATGTTACGAGAACGCGTGAATATTTTCGTAATATTCTGAACGGGTTTTTAATTTCGAATATTATAATATTCATAATATTTTAATTTACAAGAGAAAACATTTTTGAAGATTATCAGCAAATTAATCTTAGAAATTAAATCGTAATATTTTACATCGTGCCTGCTTCGCATATGCAGGCGTCCTCATTATCATACACACCCAAATAAGTACGTCACGCGAAAGTATTTAAAGCGTGATCACTCTCCTGCTTGCAGATGGAGCATAGAGGCGCGCTGCGCGGGCAGCAGGAGCAGCAGTAGCGTTCAGCTATCGTTGGGGGCCTGATCGTCGGGCCCTGTCTCTCGGGCCCGATCTCGCGCGGGGGGACGCGGGGTCGCGGAGGCGCCGCGCCGCGCCGGCCGGGGCCGAGCGACCGCGATGGCCGCGACCGACGGTCAGATCGTCGTCGCGGCAGCACGCTGGGCCGAGGAGGCGACGTACCTGCGTGAGTTCGTCTCCAAGTACCGTTTGCCGGCCGTGATCAAGATCACGAAGGGCCAGTATGGCGGGCTGGGCGTGCCGACGCTACCGGCGCCAAGTTTGCAGAGCACCGCGCTGGTGATATCGGCCGGCCGTCGGCGTAAAATCGTGGCGCAGGCGGTGAAGATCAAGGAGGGCCGCCGGGTGGTCGGCGTAGGGCCCAGACTGGCGATACCGGACTCGTACGCGGGCTACTTCGAGATCCTGAGCGAGGAAGGTCGAGCGGTGCGCGGCATCGAGTCGGTGAGCGAATTATCGCGAAGATGTCCGGATGAGGGTGCTCTGGTGCGCGAGACCGTGCGCGGCATCGCTTGCCGGGTGGACGACGAGTCGGGTATCGTGGTACCGGAGGGCACGAGAACCCTCGCCGCCGGCGAGACGATCGTTATCGCCGGTGAAGTGGCGCTACCCGGTCGCGGTCGGTTTCTGCGCTGCGTGGACTGTCACGGCGACAGCGTTCTGCTCGGGATAGATCAACGCGGACGCTTCAGCGCCCTGGCTCGCGAGGACAACATCAGCGGCGTGCACACCGCTAGAGCGCTTCTCAGCAAACGTCTGCCGCTCACCGTGAGACTGGTTCACGGCCAGCCGCCACGAGGACTCAAGTCGTCGTCGCAATTTGTGCCCGAATTGAGGCTGCTGTCGACTTTCGAGGAGGAGCACGTGTTTGCGTTGCCGCTACAGAGGGAAGGAGCGGCGGTCGCGCTGCCGCTCGCGGCGCCGCTCAAGCTGGTGAAGGCGCGAAACGAGGAGGCACTCAGGTCGATGCAGGAGTTTACGAGGTTGGTGGAGCGCGCTTCTCGTCTGGTTGCCGACGTGGCTGATCGGGCGCACGTATTGGACGGCCGTCTGGGCGAGAGCAAGCCCTCCAGGCAGACGAGGAGCGGGTCGGGCTTCCTCAGAAGACCATCGACGAACTCGGATCACGCGCCGTTAAGTCACCATAGGAACAGTGGCGCCGGCCACCATCATCATCATCATCACTATCATAGCAACGGGCATCAGCCGTCCTCCGGACACTCGGGGTACCGGGATGAGAACAGGGTACCGCCGTCGTCGTCGGCCTGCACGGAAGAATACGACGAAATCGATCAGATATACGACTACGTGCGCGGCTTCGCGCCGTTGCCGAAGAGCGTCAGGTCGCCGTACGAGAGTCCTCTCGCCGCGGGCCAGGGGGGTTCGACCCCGCCGTTGACGCCGGTAACGGTGACGATTACGCCCTTGCTGGACGATCGACCGGAACCGCCGCCGATCGAGACGATACCGACGAAGAAGATTCAGGCGGAGAAGCGGACTAGGCGCGCGGTGAAGGAAGCGCCGCAGCCACGGGTGGAGAAGCCGCCATTGGCGAAGCTCTACGTGAAGAATAGTGGTACTCAGCGCGGACGACCGCTAATGAGGCAGAAGAGCGCGTCGCCGTTGAAGGAAACGCCGCCGGGTTACAAGGGCGGTTCGCCACTCTTCAACATACGTTACAAGAGCTTGACGAATCTTCAACAGGCCATGGAGCTCGATGGCACGCTGGATTCCAGTCACTCGGGCGGAAGGACGTCGGGAGACTCCGGCGCGGGCGCCAAGCTGCCAGAGAAAAGGTATAATATACTTTTTTCTTAATAATAATCATTTTTATTTGTAATTATTAGACATATCGTTTAATCTTTTATTAAAAGCATAATTAATTAAATAATTCTCAGAGTTATTATATCATTTGCTATAAATTATTACGATATTATTTAAAGAATTGAATAAAGCAGATATTATTAGAACATTTGATTATTTTCTTTTATTGGATTATTAAATAATTACATATTTTCTATTTTATAATATATTTTTTCACGATGCTTATTTTTAAAAATATATATTTGATTTTATTATTCACGTCAAAGTAGTTTCTATTGATATTAATTGTCTAAACAGCATAATATTGACCAATAATATTCACAACAAGTTTTTATTATATTTTCTCGATTTTTCACGATAAACTCTAGATCGAGACGTTTAAGCAGGCCACGATCGCTGACGAATTTAGTCTGGGAGCTGCGAGGTGGAAGCGGCCTCGGCTGCACGAGACCGGAAACTCCGCCGCCCGCCACGACTGCGCCGCTGCCACCGACTAAATGTGGGCCACGTTTAGCTGTCACTGTCGTGGCACCGCGACGTGTCGGCACGCTCTACCTCTAACTCGTGAGTATCCATTTTTTAAGTAATAAATATTTAGCGAGAAGATGTTTCGTAATGGCACATCTCTCATTTTTGTGTAGCAAGATGAGTACGTAAGAGAGAAAGCAATTTGTAGGTATAATCTGCGAAATTGAGATTGCGAATACGGTTTTGCGAAAAAATATACATTGCGCGACTAAGATCAATTTCCGCTTTTGAGAAAAACTGCGACCAGTTCTGCTCTTCAATTGAAACATCGCGTGCGCGGCTATTTTCTGTATGTCCTTCGCGCACGATCTTCGTTTCCCGTATTTCAGCCAGATGATACGCCGTCGGGCGAGCGGCAAGATTATTTGCCGAACGGACATGCACGTCGCAATTAACTACATTGAGAGAACAGCGGTTACGATGTAGTTATAGCGTACTTTGTCCGGGAAGGAGGACTGAATCGTTAAATTCGCGGGATCGACCCAGGATAGACAGGATCTTTTAACGGGGCATTTTACTGGGCGTTATAAAAGACACACAGCTCTCCGCTTCCCTATTGCCATAAGTCTTTATTCACTTAATTGCTCCCCCCATTCTATCCCCAGCATAACGATGCAAGGAAATGCACCTGCCCGTATGGACGATGCAGGAAGTTCCGCGATTACCGTCAATTACAATCCATGGGCAAATCCATTCTTAAACATAATCGAGTCAAACGCGGGATATGAAGGACCTCACACGTGTCTGAATCATGTCGGTGTATTCATTACGATCAGCAACGTTGTAATTCTTTGTTTCTTCCGCGCCCATCTTCTTTCCATGTTTCCATTGGAACACAGCGTCGGATTATTAACTAACATAAAAATCATGTTTATTAAATTACCATATCGATTTAATAAACTCAAAAAATAATACGTGATCTTCTCGATTCTATATAATTTTATAATTCTATAATATGACTGCGGTTTCATTTATATAGCTCAATGTAATGCTAGCAAAGTTTTTACACGTGAATTGTCCACTCAGTGCGGTACAACAGATTCTTACGTCGTAAGCGGGCATTATCAAACCAGTTAATGTACGGCACCGACAAATATCGCACACGAGCGAAAAGCGAGATGGTAATATTATCCACGGATGATCGTCTTGCTTGTTTCTCCGTCCATTAAATCCGGCGATGATAATCGACAGCGACAGCGACAGGGAGAGATGGAAAACGTTTCCTCATCATAAGTCCGGTTTTGCACGTATGCCGGGCGACGAGACGTTTACGGGAGGAAGTCGGGAATCACAAAGCTTCCTGCCGCGCACATCCGCAATCCAACGCAGGTACCGGTTAGTATTCCCAAGCCGTGGAAATTAGCGAGGTCCGCGCGGGTTAATCCGTCGTGGCCTAACTTCTCTCTCTCTCTCTCTCTCTCTCTTTCTCTCTCTCTGTCGTTTAGCGGCGACTAGGTGCTTCGCATCGCGAGAAGACGGGTCGGTTGGAAGCCGCAAAGAGAGACAGGAGACGGAGAGAAAGAGGAGATAGTTCAACGGTGGACAGCCTCCGGGTATATAACGTCATCCTCGCTTGGTGCAGCGCTGTAATAGCCCCGGTTCGCTCCGCGGAGCCGCTCCGTGAACGGAATTAAACGAGACCAGGTTCAACGGCTGGACAAACCGTGGCTTCCGGTCCCACCGCTCATCCTCCGCCCACCTACTTGATCGCATATTATGAAAATTATGATTGTGCGAACCCGCGCGATTTTATCGATTGCCGTAGAAAGCGAGCGGCTTCCGATAACGCAATCGACGACAATCAAGCGTCCGGCGAAGCTGATCGTTCATAATCTAGCGGCGATCTCGCGTGGCTTGCAGGCGGATCGTTGATACCGACTTTTTTTAGTAATTATTTAAAGCGCCTCATATATCTCAATACTTTTACATTTCGGTATCTTAATAAGTTTTGAGCAAAAATTCTGTAAAGTACTGAAATCCGGTTTCACCGGCGCACGTCTCCGCTAATCATAATTTAGTTGATTCTTTGCCTCTTTCCACCTCATAACCGTGACCATAACTTAGGGAAGAAAGATTTAGTTATCCACGATTAGTACCAGATGCGAAAGTCGAACAAAACTGGCCGGCGAAACCGGACTGCGAGTGAAAAGAAAGTCATACGTGGGAACCGCGCGCGACAGTTCCGCAATGGGAGCGTCGGAGTGCTGAGTTCTTAGGTCGTTCGCGTTACATTTCGTTCTCACGAGAAATTAAAGTAAAATCCAGATCTCTCGCGAAGCAAATTTGCGGTTAACGCGCGGTAATATTAGTTTCAGCATCGTTTTTTTCGCGACACTTCTATTATATACACGACGCCTCACTTCTATTATATTCCAAAACCGCTATTATATTCTAAATTACTTCGCCGTGTCCGCTTGTCACTTGCGGCTACCCGCAGCACCGTCGTCGCGCCATTTTCACGTACATTTTAATGCCCCGGCTGTGCTAAACGTCGCGCTACGAAATTACCGGGTGTCTCCCCAAGAAACGAGGATGCCCGTCGCTCGGCTGCTAATTAATTAACGCAGATCGAAAACATGTTGTTCTCTCCCTTCGCTTGTTTACCCTCTCTGCGCGAGTGTCCGACGATGCTATAGGCTCCCCCGTGGTTCAGGATAAACGGCACACGTTTATGGTTATCTATGTTAAATCGCGTCGCGGGAAGGAGGAGTCGTCGCCGATAATTAGAAAGTAATCGCGCCGTGGCTTTTCGCGTGCTCGCTCTGTCCAGACGGTCCCGGAGAGAGAGAGACTATTATCTCGCAAATTGCCGGGTGTGTTACACCATCCCGCGCCCCTGAGCCTCGCCTGTGCCCTCGCGACGACGTTGATTAATATCGACAAATTCCTCCACGCATTCGTATGATTATGCTCGTGGCGATATTCCACAGCTATGTTAGTTAACACTCGTGCCGCTGCCTCCTGACATGCGATGACGCGCCCGAACATAGTATTACGGCGAAATAAAGATTGCGCGGCGTCGTGGTCATCACAGGCGCGGCCTTTGATAATATTAAATATTTAATGCCGATCTAATATTCATCCGGTGTCCGCGTTTCTCGCCGCGCTCCCGTTGGCCTGTGCTTCTGGCACTCGCGCGCGCGAATACAACTTGGAACGAGCCGCGCTGTGATCATCTTCGAAATTGCTAGGCATCCTTACTTCGTGCCGAGACGCAGGCCGAGGTACTGCTCGCTTGTTAGGATGCTTCGAGAGGCACGATTGCCTCGATCCTGCCTTTCAACAAAGACATCGCGATATAGGTTTCGGTGTTCGATTCACAGTAGGCATAACCGGTGTCTACTGTGGCGCATAATACAACTGTGACAGAAACGCAGAGAAAAGAAGAAATTATATGATTTCAATTTATATTAATGTATAAGATTTTCTAAAAAAAAAAAAAAAAGAATACCTACAGTCCTATGCGGTTCATGTATTTTTGTAGATCTGTATATATAATTTTCTATATTTCGTATATTCCATGCACATAGAGAAACGTATGCTTAGCGTGTTTGTTGCATTCGCGACGAGGTTTTCGTTTGTCTTCTAACCAAAACCATGCATATTTATCGTATCCCCCGGTTACATTGCATGCAAATTACAGACGACGTTCGGCTTCGCGACCCGACTCTTCGTTATTCCGTCCCATTGTCTGCCTACATCCTCTCTTCCCGGATAAATGCCGTCTCGACGTGGTTCACGTGCGTCGCGCTTGTAGGCCCGTCCTGAGTCATCCGGCGAATTTTTTCACCCATTTACCGTCTAAAACCATCTACGCATACTTAATACATAGTCGCGCGTCGAGAGGAGACGAGACGAGACAACGGTGAAATAAAGAAGAGCTCGAAAAAGAATATTAGAAGAAGGCTGCGTCGTCAGCCGCTTCGTCTTGAAAGCTCTCACCTGAAACTCATGGCACGCCCACGTGAAACGATACATGAATGGCTATTATACGGGATATGTCGGGTATGCCCGCATTGTGTTTTACATCCTTATAAATTCTTCAGCTAATTCTTTGACTGCAATTGTGTTTTTTTTTCTTAACAAAAATTTTGGAATTTAGATTTTGTAAACATGCAATTGAAATATCACAAGGAGCAAGTAAACAGCAAGATATAATCATTTATTTGAAGTCGATTTTATGTAGAAGTTTCGCTCAAGTGCACATAGAAGTGCAGGTCTCTCTTAACAAGTGTAATTTTCCCGTTTCGAGAAAGGCACGACTTGTTTATGAGCTGAGGTCAAAACTCTTCGCTCCAAGGATGCGTGCATCGAAAGTATTAATTGATCGCGAACGTAGTTGGTAATGGAGCCTGGTATCTCCGGTCGTGAGAAAGAAACGAGATGGCGGATCGATAAATAAGATTAATACTTGCTGCCGCTTTCGCGTTTACAAGTTTCCTCTAAACCGTGGAATATTATAATAATTCCTGACATTTTTCAATATATATATACGGAAAGCTCACAAGATACCCTGCTTGGATGTGCGGTAAAACTTTCTCGTCTCTCGCCACGTATCTTTACATAAACGGAGCTGCTCCCTTCCCTTAGTTATTTCCTGAATAATAAAACGGATAACTGAAGAACGACGCGCGATCACGAAATCGCACTTGCATTTAAAACATAATGAATTTCGAGGTTTATGTCGCAGTTAAATGTAACGAATGCGAAAGTTTCGAGAGACCCGTGATAAACAATGACGTTGCTAAAAAACAATAACCCATACAACAGGCCCGCTCTTTAAATTGGGAAGTTTGCTACGATCAGGGTGACAAATCGCGGAACACGCTCGCCTACGACAAAAGGTTCGGGATTACGCAAGAGCACGTCAGCACTTTGTTCCTTCCATCGGCGAGTTTCTTCGCGAAAGCGAAGCAAATCGATGGCATTGCCGGCGTGCCCTACGCCCACGTATCTCCGTGTGCGTACGTCGACAGGCAAAGGCGCGCTTCGAAAGGGCATGCTCGCGTCCACGCATATAATTTATAATTAGTTTA